TTTGTGAGGTAGAAGGCTGTGGCGCTGGTGGAGGCGTGGGGCGATTTCTGGCTGGAGAATGGAAAACAAAAACCCATGTGAACGTGTTTTGAGAAAATGATTTTGAGGAATAGTTTTACAAAATGCCAAAAAGTACGTGTTTTCAAAAATTTTAAAATGGACTTTCATAACACAAAATACAAAATGATTTCAAAACTCAAAACTGAAACACAAAGAAAACGACACCTTAATTAGTTAATGTTACTCATGACCACTATAACTCTTGGATGGTCATTTTAATGTGCTGGCCAGTTATCTTAGTGTTGACCTATTTGTTGGATAATATTGACCCAAGTCTTGGTAACCTAAGCTAACATATATATACCCACTTTCATAGCGTTGGAAACGTGTGTGTGCTTTGTGAATATATTAGAGAGAAACTGTGGCTGCTTCCCATCTCCTTCTTCGTGCCTTTGCCTTCTCTCTGCCTTTGTGGCCTTTTGCAAACATCACCATACTTGCGATCTTTATGGGTGTATTAGAAGTGGCAACCAAAGTAATAGGAGTATTTGTGGGTTGGAGTCAATTGATTGTGGTTTGATATTGGTAAATTGAACTGAGCCTGGATTCCACAAATTGAAGGTCCAAAGGGATGCAAGGCGGGAGAGAGGATTGAAATATATTATATATGAAATCATTTAGTGCCCCTTTATCGTTCCTTCCAGGGCTAAAGAGCATTTCGCCATGCCGACACAAGCAAGGTTGATTTGCTATCATAATGCCACAGCCAATGACTCTGTCGAGCCACCGATCTTAAGCCACAGGCTTTGGCTGTGCCTAAAGGTAAAGCGTGTCCAAGCTATACACCCATGGATTGTGGATATTACCTGTCTATAAATTCTTCGCGTGCATTTAAGAAATTATTCATGAAATTTGGATTCACCAAACGACCAATTGTACAGAAATGTGTTCAATGTATATAACGTCATTCAATATATAGAACACATGCTGGCTTCTTTTCCTCCATCTGGAAAATTTATCCAAAACTTTCTGGAGTGTAGCAAATGTTTTGTATATCAACAATGTATCAAAAAAATATACACGGCATAGCCAACGATCTATACTCAAAAAGTATACTATGTCAAGCCCGAAAAATCATAATCTTAGACATGAACATCTTGCCGAATCATTTTATAGCATGCATCATCGGACATAAGAAATTTGATCCATTTCCAGTATCACTGACTCTATATTCCCCCATACAGTGAAAAATCCATGCTCTGGAAATTTTCAAACATCAAATACAGAGGTTCTAATATGCACATTCTGACTTCTTAAGCGCTTGTTTGGAAGGTTATTGTGGGCTGTGATGCCATAGTCCATTCCACTTAAAGGCAATGATGATTGGCCTTGGGCCCATTCCAATATAACTAGCTTGCTGAAGTTGGCCCAGTGAAACCAGGCCCAATACCCGGTCCAAGACCAAGTTAAATTCTACACTACTCTAAGCCGTTGGATGATAACTAACCACATCTCGAGGCCTTGATATTTTGAGGGTTTCCAATCGTTTTCTGATTCATTCGAGTCTTTGGCTTTCTCTCTCATGTTCTAGAGGCGTCTGTGTGACCTTTTCGCTTCATCTCTTTCTGTGTGAATCTGCTTTAAGGGATTCATTTCTTGAGTCATTTCTTTGTGAGATTACAGTGTTTGTAAGGCTTTCTTTGTGGTTAGTCTGATTCCTTTTGGGTCTCATTGAAGTAGCTTAGGGTTACTTGGTTGACCGCTTTTGGGTTCCTGTGTAGATCTGGGTCTGACGGTGTAGAGGGTGTTTTGGATTGATGTTCTGAGCCTTATCATCTGTGAAGCTTTGATGCTAAGTGATTAATGTTTCAGTTTCATGTATAGGAAGTTTGAATGTAATAGGGTTTGAGTTTTCTTTTGAT